AAAAAGAATTTCTTACTGGTTATTAGACTTAGATGATTATATTATACGTTTGATATGGTTTATAGTTATGTATATGTATATAGTGATATGTCTGTTTGTATATAATACTTATTCCTTTGTATAAAATTTTCTGTTTAAATATATATTTTATAATTGTAATATTATACTGTTCAAATATATAATTAATAAAATTAAAACTCCTGAGCCCCCACACGAGTCTTCTCAGTGGGGCCCAGTATTTCATTGTATGAAACCAAAATTAAATAAATAAATAAATAAAAATGGTAGATAAAATAAACGTAATTTTATGAATTATAACTAAACATTATTTTTTTTAGTGCAATTTTAGATTCTTTAAAATGCAATTCTCGATATATCTTAGTGCAATACTGCAATCAATTTTACTACTACAACATCCATGCCAAATTTATTAATATCACAAAAAAATTATCATTACTAATCATTACAGAAAACCCGTAGGGTAGTAAAAAAAAACTCCACATTATGATCAAAAGTGAAAATTGTTAATTTAGGATAAAAAAAAAGGTGAATACACGCCGTGTAAAACCTTGTGAAGAAAGAAAAAACCAAAACAAGACAAATCATATAAAATATACACATATATATATATGTATATATATATATATATATTAAATAATAATTTATTTAATAAAACACTAATTTTAACATCATAAAAATATAAAATTTCTGCACAGAAAAAGGTAAAATAGAAAAAAATGATGAAAATATAAGAAAAAAGTGAATATTTTTATAAAATAAGAGAAAACTTGGTGTTCGAGTCAATATTATTTAGTTGTAATTTTTGTAATTATTATTTTTGTAATTTGGTTCATGTTATCATTTTCGTGCGATGCGTAGCGGTGCGTTGCGTATCAGCAGCTTTCGTCGGCGGTGGTGATAAGCCTCCGTGTGCGACCGGCCGGGTACATAATCGCGTTGTTATCATCGCATGAAAATGTCGTTATTCCACGTTTTCAAAGTTTTCGGTTATGTTTTTGTAAAAGTAAGACATGTTCTCAGTACCACAAAGTTTCATAAGTACTCGTGTTTTTTGGTTTAGTGTGGTGGCACTGAGACATTTATTTTGTGGTGTCCGACAGCATAGCCTTCATGATGAATGTCGTCAGAACCGCCGGTTTGTCGTTTTTGTGTGTTCATGGTGTGCACACCGAAATTCATTTTTTGTCAGTTTTTGTAAAATTCACGTTTAGTTACATTCATCTGATTGCTGTCTTCGTTGTTGATTGTGATTTGGTGGTCGCACGTACCGGACTGTGACATTTTTTATTTTGTATAATTTTAAACACTGCAGTGTGCCGTCTTAGGCATATTCATTCTTCGTTGCGTTGTTACCATTTTTATATACATACCTTTTTTTTACTTATTATATATATTATTATTATTATTATTCACTAGTGTGCACCGTATGGCCAACATTGGTAGATTTATTTTTATTTTTATTATTTATTAGTTGTGCCGCTGTAGGGCCAACCCACTGTTTTTCACGTATATTATATCATATTACTATTTTTTATTTGTGTGCCGTGTGGACCACATTAAACATATGATTACGCATATGGTCTCGGTGGCGTTACTACCGACTTCGGATACGGATAACACTTCGGAGACGGTCGGTTCGATCGCTCCCCCGCTCTCGTTCAACCTATCTAGGTACAGAACGGTATTTGAGGAATTCTTCCACCCCTCAACGCTGACGTGTTCGATCTCCACACGCCCAAAACCATGGTCTCTCGACACTTCCACGGTCTGAGACATGTGGATGGTTTTGGGCACGTGGAGAACGACAACGAGGGCGATCTGACGCACCATTTCCAGAATGTCGGCTAGACCGCCTCTCTGGCGACTGCACAAATCTTCGGCACTGAACCACCGGTTTCGATCCTACGGCGGCGAAGTGATCACCGCGTCGGACATCATTAGTTTCACGGCGCTGTCGCCAACCCGAAACTCAATCCTGTGGATGACTCCGAGCTCCGCGGCCTTCCGGTGGGCCAACCGTATTTTGGTCGAGTCGTTGTCCATGGCAATCACTTTTCGGCACGTGCACGCCAGCCGAATGGTCAAGCGGCTGACACCGCAAAACGAGTCGACGACCGTGCTGAAAGCACACCTCCGGGCCACGTGCGCGGCCAATACGTCCGGGCATGCGGACACCGAGAAGTGCAACTTATCGGCAACAGGTCGTCGCTGGAATCGCCAAGCGGCCGGTTTCGCCACGGCGTCGGGGAGACACAGGTCCCGATGTCTTTGGGCGGCGATCGGCGGTTTCAACGCAGCGGACTCATCGGAGAGGCCCGACGGCAACGTACTGGGAAAACTAAAGGTGAAAGCGGTCTCTTCCACCTCAGTCACGACCGCGTCCTCCTCGGGCTCATCTTTAGCATTCGTACACGTTATATGGCCCTTCACGGTTCTCAGCCAGTACTTTAATGATCCTATTTCCCCGGGCGGCGACAGGTGTTCCATCCCGGTGAACGCTTCCACGGTCACCGGCAGCCCATCTACCTGAACGCCTACGTCCGCATACTTTTTCTCTCCCATTTTCTTGGTCCTCGAAGCATCGATATCTCGGTCTCCGGACCACCGACGCTCCGTCTGGGTGTAACCGTCCCTAGTGGTGGCATGCGGTTTTCCGACGGTGGTCGACGTGAAGATCACGTTTGGTGACCAGGTCGCTCGCTGCCGTCGACGTGGCCCGCAATTCTTCGCCTTCGCACCAGTAATGGATAGAGTAATGGGGGCCTGGTCGGCCACCCCCATACCCTCGCGGTTGCTTGATGACGACCGAAGTGGGCCCGCTACGTTGGAACCGGTTTTGACACCAGAACCACCCATTCCTGTCGACCTCTGGGGTTCCGAAGCCCCTGAGGTGGTAACAATACTATAATAGTAACTCATATTGTGGTTTTTCAAGTGATTTCCTTCACTATATTTTAACCTTACTGCCAGGGGTATTTTGATCAAGATTTTCCTTCCTCTATGACGGCTACCACCCGAGGCTGAAGAGCCTGCCCTACCTTTTGTTGAGAACCACTTTGTCAGCCCTTAATTCGTCGACCTGTCCAACATGGGAGACCCTGTTGGTAGTAAACTACCGTTGGCATAGGTCTCGGAACTAATGAGAGATGCAAGCCCCCACCACCACGTCAAGGTGGGTTCTCGTGGGGGGGGGGGGATTAGTCAAGACGTCACGTTAGACGAGAAACATATCCAGCCCAATGAACGAGGCTGGGAAAGACAATATATATATTATATTTTATACCTCAATAAGGAGTAATTGTGAGAGACTGTCTCGTGACTTTATTACGGAATATATTTATAATTTATTAAAGAATTTATTACGTACATAGGTGTACACAGTTGACCTCACTCACTTTGATTTATAAATGATAATATACTTCAACTATCATTAAATACTAATATAAAAAATAAAAATATAATATCAAATATTTCGATACTGTGAAGAAAGATCTGACAGGAATGGAACCTACCTATAACATAAATTTGACAATAGATAGAATGCAATGGATAAGTATTGTAGAAGCGGCATTAGACCCTAATGGTCTGTTACAAACCCAAGAAGAAAATAATATCAAATAAAATAATAATATAAATAATTTAACATAAATTGTTATTGTATATACACTATTTAGATTGTATTTTTTCAAAATAATAAAAAAAAACTAATTAAATTATATTATAGCTTTTGTTATTTTTAAATAAAAAACATAAGCCAAGTACTATTTGCAAAATCAACACAATCCGTTATCAGAGTATAGTCATATGTGTGCTCGGGCATCCCCCGAAATGTAGTAAACAGGGCCCCTAAAATGTATGTCTAAAAATGAAGGTTTCCTATTTTAACTAATGTTGCTTAGATTAAATGTAATTTATTCTAATATATTTGGTAAAAAATAAATCATGTTTCATACAATAAAAACTAAAACTAAATTTTTGTGCAAAAACTTATGATAATACCAAGGACTGGAACCTATAGGTTTTTTCGGTTCTGGTTTCAATTAATTTTTAAGGGTTTCGGTTTTTTAAAAGGGTAAGGGTTCTAGAACCAGTTAATTTCGGTTAAGCTAATAATAAATTTAATTTCATGAAAATAGAAGGTATTATGAGTAGTTAAAAAAAATAATTATAAATATATTAAATATACACATTATATCAAATGAGTAATTTTATGATTAATTTCAATTAGAATTATAAAAGGGAAGGAAAAAATATTTACATAGGTTTGTTTAGGTTACCTACATTTATATATATATATATATTTTTTTTTTTATGGCCTGGTGAAATATCAGAATTGGCCTGCCTAAAAGTTCACGTGCTCAGAAAAAAAATCGAAATGACGCCCCTGCTTACCATATAGTAAGAATACAGTAGAGCCTTGATAGTCCGGACGAATTCAGACCGAGCATCGTCCGGATTACCGGAGGTTTCTCAAGATTACCTACTCAAATGACTAAGATTTTATTTTTAATTTCACCATCTTTATATTTATTGCATTTTAAATTATACGAATAATAAACAACTTAAATTAAAACTAAACTAATGAATTACAAAAAAAAAAAAAAAAATGTTTATAATATGTAGAATTTAAGTATAATAATCGGTAATTTTTTTCTGAATAGTACTTTTAATTTTCATTTCAAAAGCGAGTTCTCTTAATCAACGTACCAACAAAATATCAGTGCTATCCATGTTCTCATCTTTCGCCCATTGCAATACAGTATTCAGTGCATTCACAGCTTCTGAAGGAGAAACTTTACTTGTACTAATTGAGCCACTTTCATCCTCGTCGTCAATATCATCCTCTTTTGCTGCAATTTGTAGAATTTGATCATCAGTTAAGATTTCATGATTCGCTAAATCTTCGTCTGCGCCACGGCAAGCCCATTCCTTTGCTTGAGAATCAGACATTTTATTCGTACATGTTTTCTGTATCTGGTTTATGAGTGTAGAAAGTTGAATGTCATTAATTTCAACAACTTCGTCGATTTTATTTTCTGTTTGGAAAGGATCAAGTGTTTCCACGATTTCTTTATGAGCATTGGCGGGACCAATTTCCAACAATTTGCAAGACTAAAAACTGCGTCTTTTAAATTTATGGCCTTTAGAGCATCAATAAGGTTTTCACCATGCACCGGATCAGCAAGAACATTGACTAAGAGAGACTTACGATAGTTTAATTTAATATTCTGAATTACATTTTGATCCATCGGTTGAATAAGCGCTGTAGTATTAGGGGGTAAAAACATTGCAAAAATGTTGCCATCATCACTACGTAATTCTTCTGCTGATGGATGTCCAGGGCAATTATCCAACAATAATAAAGCTTTTGGAGGTAAATTTACATTTAAAAGGTGCTCACGAACTACAGGAACAAATTGTTTTTGAAACCAGTCTAAAAATAAAACACGAGTGGCCCAAGCATTTTTTTGTCCACGATAGTATACGGGAAGGTTAACTGATTTAAACGCACGTGGTTTTTGTGCAGTCCCAATGACGAGTAAAGGCAATTTATGTGTTCCACTTGCATTAGCACAAGGCATGAATGTTATTCTAGCTTTAATCATTTTTATTCCAGGGGCGTTTTTCTCATGACTTGATGTCAATGTATGCTCTGGTAACATTCCCCAGAATAAACCGAATTCATCAGCGTTATAAATTTGTTCTAGGTCCAAATTGTTTTCATTTATGACTCGCTGCAACTCATTTCGAAATGGTTCGATTGATGCTTCGTCACATGAAAGTTTCTCACCCGTTATTTTAAGGCGCCTAATACCATGACGATGTTTAAAATTGTCTAGCCAACCTCTACTAGCAGTGAAACCATCTTCCTGCTTTGTTATTTCACGGTGAAATAAACGTGCTTTTTCGCAAATTATTTCACCACTTATCGGAATATGTCGTCTCCGCTGTTGCATAAACCATATAAATAAAGCATTTTCGAGAACAAGATTTTCCGGTTCTTTTAAAGTTTTACGTGTGCCTGGACCACGTTCAGTTGTGCTGACAAACTTCATAATTTTTTCTTTATTTTTTTTTATGTCACCAATAGTCGATTTACCTATTCCATACTTCTCAGCAATCATACCATAGTTCTGGCCATTTTCCATTAGCTTAATTATTTCAATTTTTTGATCTAAAGTTACGTGTTTACGAGGAGCCATTGTACAAACAAGAATAATAACCACTCGACAAGAAAGAAGTAAACGAACTGACCATCGGGCATCGATTTATTACCTACATATGTACATATTAATCTTTAATAGGAACAGTAGGTAATAAAAATGACGAAATTGTATTTGTCGATAACAATATCTTATGCATAGATTAATTGGGTTCCGGGAATTCTCGTAAAATCTATTTACGAACAAACGGAATTTTGCCGTCCGGATTACCGCGTTCACCGGATTATCGGGGGTCCGGACTATCGAGGCTCTACTGTATTTACAAACTGTTCGCGTACCACGATCTTAACATTAAAAACACGTGGTATCACTTATCATATTGACGTTTTAATTTTGTGATAACGGTTCGTTTATGTTTAAGTTTTTGATGTCTCTAGTTTATTTTCTAAATAACAACTCACAATAATTTATATTGCAAAAATTGATATAATTTTCGAGTAGTTTTAATAAATATGTAAACTTCTAAATTACATTTATTTATTTACTAATTTATGATGTTTTCACAAATTATTGATTGTTATTGATAATTTTTTGCACATCCTACATGTATAAACATGTTTTTTTATGAATAAATAAATACGTTATTAAATTAAAAAGTTAAATTATTATTTGAATGTTATTGCAATATTAATTTTAATTTTTTTTATACAAATCCATCTAAATTATGGATAAAAACGGGCAGTTAATTGAAAATGAGGAGGACAAGCTAGAATTATCATTGCCTCAAAAAAGATACTATAGGCAAAGAGCACATTCAAATCCTATTGCTGATCATGATTTTGACTAGTAAATATAGTTTTCTATTTTGAATAAGTGTATTTAAATAAAAAATTGTTTTCTTTAAAATCTAGTCCTAGTTGCCCCGAGGCCTATGATTGGTCTACGCTATATCCAAATGTAATCAATAATAATTCTGAAATTTATAACAAGCAAGTTGAAATTTTGGACATTGGATGTGGGTACGGTGGTCTTTTGAGTAAGTATTGAGTTGTAGTTAAAATCAAATGTATTTATTATGAGAATAATTTATGTATATTTCAGTTACCTTATCGCCTATGTTTCCGAATGTTATGATTCTTGGAATGGAGATTAGAGTAAAAGTATCTCAATATGTGATAGAGAGAATCAAAGCTTTAAGGGCTAATAAACCAGGGTCTTTTGATAATATTGCTTGTATAAGAACAAACGCAATAAAATATTTACCAAATTTTTTTAAAAAAGGCCAGGTTAGTAGATGAAAACACAATGTAGTAAAAATAAATTATAAATTCATGTTTTTAAAATATATATTTTAATATATTTTTAGATAAAAAAAATGTTTTTCCTGTATCCAGATCCTCATTTTAAAAAATCTAAACATAAATGGAGAATCATCAATGATACCACTTTATCCGAGTATGCTTATGTATTGGCTGAAGAGGTATTAGTTCAAAATTTTTAATACATATTTTTATAGTTTATTTTTTTTCATTATATATTTTATTTTTAGGCACTAGTATATACAGTTACTGATGTGAAAGATTTACATGACTGGATGGTTCAACATTTTTCCAAACATGGTCTTTTCAAACGTGTAGAGGACAATAAATTGGTATATTTTTAATTTATTCTTTATAACTATTTAATTAATCATATATTTCGTTTGCAGAAAGATGATGTTGTTATTGATAAACTTTATGAAAGCTCAGAAGAAGGCAAAAAAGTGACAAGAAATAATGGAGATAAATTTTTAGCTGTATTTATGAGAATAAAAAATCCAGATCTATAGTACATATTTATATATTATAACAAAAAATAAAATTATTTTTAAACCCTTTAACAATTTTCTTTATATTTTTATTTTTGCTGGATAAATGTGCATATTTTTCCAGTTTTACATGTTAAATTATACTGAAATAATTTTGAATAGTACTGAGTTTGCATGAAATAATCAGTATTATAAAAACTAATTGACCTGAAAGTTACTAAAAATTCAAAATGTATAAATATAATGTAATTCATGGATTATAAAATCTATGTTATTATGAACCAGTATAACAATTTTATTGTAGGTTAGTTAATTTTATTTTTAAGAAATCAATTGATTTAAACATAGGTGTAACTTGGAAATTTATTAGGGGGGCAAAAATATAATTACATATTTAACGAAAAGGGTGTCCAAGGTTAAATGCCACTTTACTACCTACATATTATTATTTAAAAATAAGATTTAAAAAAAAACAATAATAGTAATAGCTATAATTAGCTGTTTTGTATTTTTTTAAAACAAGGTATGTTAAATATCAGAGGTGACACTGCCCATCCTAATTTATTCTAGGGGGCAATTACTCCTCCACCCAAAGTTTAAGCCAATAGATTTAAACTTGTAGTGTTCGTTTTAAATCTAGGCATTTTTTAATCATCACCATAGGTGAAACTAGGGTGTGCTATAGCACCCCCAGTGGAAAATTAATAAATGAAAAATTATGTGAAAAAATAGTGTTTTTCTTATTTCATATAGTTATTTTAATTTGATGCTTTTATCAGAAAGATGAATTGTTCATGACTATTAGTTAATTACATCGTCGTAATTATTTGAAAAAATTCCACTAGTCACCTTAAGATAATACCAATATAAATATTATATATTGTATAATATATTTTTAATTTTATATTCCTTAGCGCTGTATGACCAAAATAAAATAATATAATGAAATAAATAGGTATGTCACAATTTATGCTTGTTAATATTTATAAATTAAAATATTAGTGTATGTGTGTTATTATGATACATTTAATGATTCAATTGAGATAAGGTACTTAGGAGGAAGGGAGTATTGGCGTAGACCTCCATAAATTAGTGCGAGCTATGTATTTTCAACACCCCCAATATTTGGGCTTTAGTTGCACCTATGATCATCACATAAAATCATATATTTTAGTGATACTGAGCCAAGTTCACAATACAACAATATTCATATTTTGTTCATGTCAAATTACTTACTTCATTATTTACCTACATAAGTCTTAATTCCAAAATGTATTAACAGTCAATTATTATCTGGTAATATTCATTCAGATATCATAATGTCACTAAATAATATTATGCATAATCCTACCCAATCCTATGTTCCATATAATACCAATGTATATCAAAGCTCATGTTTTGTAATAATCTTGAGATGTTTAGTGCTTTTATACTTTGTAGATGTACACATTTTTACACATTTTTTCTATTAAAAATTCTCTGCAATAACATGTTTTAAAGATAAATTTAACTTTTTTTTAAACACATGTATATTTTTTTATGAACTTGGTTAATTTAATTGAAGATAAATATATTATTGCATTTTTTAACAGCCAACCATGTGATGACACATGTAAAACACATATATACAATATATACACAATTATATTTAATTTATATTATACTTAGTAACCTGACAAACAAATAAATGTGTTACATAAAATAATAAATTATTATAATTTCTTTGAAATAGAATTATTTGAAGTTTTCATTACATAAAAATGTTATCCATTATTTATAAATTTATAAAAAAATTAACATTATTGGGATAAAATAATATGTACTTTTAATTTAATTTTTGTATTAAATATGTTTTAAAATTATTATTCAGTCTATATAATACAGCATTGATAATATATTTTGTAGTTAATGCACTTCTATTTAAATAATAATAACCCAAAAATATACAATAAAAATAAAATAATTGTAAACATTTGTTCTTAAAAAATATTTAATAACATAAATATTTTATTTGAATACTAAACATTTGTACATAATTGTAATTTACTCTAAAATTGTTTCCTTTTCATTTTGAATTAAATATAATGAGAATTTTTAATTTTTTAGTTAAAAATAATTGTCAAACAATAACATTAATTATTAAAAATATTAATTTTATCATTTAGGAAAATGATGTTTTTTCGTGTTTATTATAGTCAGAGGATACTTCAATTTAAATTAAAAATATTACAAAATATGGTCTAGATTATTTTTAATTTTAAAATTTTTCTTAAGTATTTGTAACTATTACACTCATAAAATTGTATTTATTATTATTAGCACTAGGAAGTTGAAAGATTTGTATGTTTTTCCACATACTTCGTACTTATAGATAACTATAAAATTATATATTTAGTTTTACTTTATAACAGGTACTTTTTATAACAATTATATTATAATACTATTACAACTATTTAAGGCCATTAATGTAATATACAAATTACAATGATTTGAAAATTTATAAAATATGTTTTAAATGTATTCAATTAATAAAAAAAATTAACTATAAATATATTTAAATTAAAAAAAAAATAATTTAATTAAATAATAATTATTATTCTATGTTTAATTTCAATCTTGATAAAATGCCTAATATAATTAGATAAATATTTTATCTCTTAGTAGTGAATGTATAACGTATACTAGGTACATAATGTATATAATTCTGTTAAATTAATATGATTATAATTTATATTTTATTTATAAATTAATATAATTATACTAATATTCTGTAAATTAATATCTTCAATTATCAATAGATAAGGACAGGCAACACAAAATGTTTAATTAAATGTGTGATATTATCTCTAGTTTCTTTATATTGAGTTATAAAAGTTATTAATGTCTTAGATAATTAATTTTTTCATGTTTTTATACTATATTTCTTATAAGAAAAAATAATTTTAAGGTATCATAAGCTCAAAATAAATTTCAAATTAGTAAATACATATTTAAAATATTTATTTAATATCTTGATGTATTTAACATAATTTGACAAATGAAAACTAAGAGAACATGATGAGTTAATAAATAAAAATTAAAAATATTGTTCTGGTAATTTCATTTCAAAGTCATTTATAATCAAAAAAACATTGTTTAAACAATTATGGATTTTTAATTTTATAGAAACACTAATTAAAATTATGATATAGTTTTAAAGAATTTTGCACTAGTTTAACAGCACACATTGAAGGGTTAAACAGAAAATACATGCTAAACCAAAAATATAATTACTTATATTTTAATAAGCAATATTATTGAAGAATTTAATCCAATTTTGAGAATATTTTTTCTTATTAGATATAAAATAAGTTGATTTAAAAGGTATCTCATAAAATAGCTTTTTCTATTTAAAAATGACAAACAACATAAATAAATTAACTAAAATCATTTTTTCAATTAATATAATATAATATGCTGTATAATCTATGATATCAAAAAATCTAAGTAACCTTATATTCTATCTATAAAATGGTCAATACATAGTTTTATTTAAGTAATGTATTCTTATTAATAAATATGTCAAAAGAGTTAAATTAATCCGATTAATGAATAATATTCATTTTTAAGTAGATTAATAATAGTCTTCATTCAATATGTTTTGTAAAAATTTTTTTAACAAAATTACTATATAATATACTTGGCTTAAATAATTATACATGTTCATAATGACAAATGAATCATTTTCACATTTTCAAATTAAATCTAGTAATAAGTTTAATCATATTTTATTTATATTAAATATTAAAATAAAATTCTCAAATTAATTGGGAAATAAAAGGGAACCGGAGAAAAAAAAAGGTATATCAATGATTATAAAAGAGAACATAATAATCATCAATTAACATATATAATCAATGGTATTACAATAATCAGTGCTGTGGTTGTACCAAAGTATTTTCCATGCATTTTTGAAAGAATACATTATTTGTTAAAAATTATAAACTGAATTAATTTAGTCTATTTAATTGTGGTATCAATTAATTATCTAAACTATTAAAAACAAATAATTGTTCTCTTAAAGTATACTTCTTAAATTATTTAAAAAAAGTAAATATTGTTGAATCACTAATAAACATTAATAATAGTGCTTTTATTTACAAAATGCTTTAAGTCAAAATTAAAACAAATTTAAACATATAATTGATGAGCAAGTAAATCAATAAAATGAGTATTTTTTTTTTTTTAATAAATGTATGAAACAAATTAAATCATACTATATGTATTCTAGTAGTTAATTTAAATTAAATATGGACCATCAATTTTATATCCTAAATATTTAAATAAAATAATCTTCTAATTATTGACATTTAAATTAATTGTATTAACATTTTTTTTTTTTTTTTTTTTAACAATTTAGATCTTATCTACTATAAAGTATATCATAGTGCCCTGGTTTATAAAGAAGATGAACACAAACTGGAGATCCTTCAGGAAAATCATGAGCAATAGCTTCACATGATTCACCTCTATCCATGTATCTTACTCGAACACCTACATTTAATGCTGTACTCAATGCAATTATATGAATATGATCACTTTCTTTAAACATTGGCTCTACTTCCTATATAAAACATAAATTGTTTTAAAGTCATTCTAGTACAGTGGTTCCTGACTGGAGAAAATTCCTTCCCTGGGAGGAATTTAGATAATGCATGGGGAAATATAGTAATGATGAAATAACAAGAATTTTATAAATAAAACAATTATATCATTTTACAGTTAGTAAAATTTAAAATATTAAATTAATTTTTGATCGGTCGCTTATTGATAAGAATTTTATGAATATTTTATAATAATTCACCTCTTTACAGGTTTGGTTACCTATTATCCAAAAGTCACAGAAAGAGCTGTCCGTGCATTAATCTCATTTGTGTTTACTTATCTTTGTGCGCCTTGTTTTTCCACACTTTTGCAAATAAAAACGAAACAAAGTAATCTATTGGATGTGAAAAATGATATGCGTTGAGCGTTGTTAAAAATACCCTGATGGATTATGGACTTGGTAAAAAAAATAAATCTCCAAATTTCTAATTACATTTTTTTAATCATATTTATTTTAAAAATATATAAAATTATATTCAAAAATATAAAATAATATTATTAAGTTGATTTATATTTTGTTATTAAATAGATGAAAAAATATAGGTCATTATGATTATTTGTATAATATATAGTTATTTTTATTACTATAACAAAAAAAAAGATCATTTTTAATAAATGGAGGGCTGAGATTTTCGAAAATTTATAAGGGGAGGAGGAGGCATAAAATGAAAAAGTTGGAAACCACTGTTCTAATATATAATAATATTATTATACCTGATGACAAAACTCCACAACAGTTCGATCCCCTTCAATAAAATGCTTGTAAAAATCAGCATCTTTTTGCAGTTGCCCTGAAGTAATAAGACGTAAATAAACCACTACATAATCTGAATACCCTTGCATATTGAAAGTATCATACAATTTCTCATGTTGACCTTCACCAATCATATTTACAACTTCCATAAACTAATATAAAATACAAACAATTATTTAAAATCTCTTTTATAGCAAATATTTAATGAAAATTTACTGTATCATGAAAATCCTCTAATGTAAATTGGGTAAAACCACAAGAGATCAATTCATCTTTGCTTTTCAAAGCACGTTCTTTGAAGTGCTTATATTCTTCGTTATGATCTATTAAATACTCAAAATATGCAAAAGCAAATGATCTAAAAAAACAATTGCCATCTGGTCTTGCACGTCTCATACATTTATATTTTTTACTAAGATCTTGAACTTTTGTTAAGTACACGGGATCATTTATATATTCGGTTTCAAGAGATGTAAATTCTTCTTTTTGACCAATAAGCAATATTGAATCAGAAATCTAAGAATTCAAATTATATTAAAATTAAAAAATTAATTTTATGATAGTATTATACTTAAATTAGGTATATTAACCTCTTTTTCAATTTCTCTGTGTTGTTGAATTATTAACTCATCTTGCTCTAAACCTAAAAATATGAAAATGATGAATCAACCAAATAATACATTTTTTTAAAAGGAACTGTTAATATAAAATAATAATCATAAATTAAAAAAATAAATATAATACATTCATAAATGAATTAATTATAATATAATTCAATAATTTTACAAGAAAATTAAGTTTGATATACCTTCTGGCTTGAATGCAACTGCTTCATGATTATCATCCATATTACAAGAATTCTATAACACAAGTTAAAGATTTATAATTAAAAAATAATTTACAATGTTTAAAATCTTAAAAACAATTATTAAGTATAATTAGTATAACTTAAATACTTTCATTAGATTTAAATACATTTTTATAATATATTGTAATACTTAAATTAATAATATAATTTATTTTTCTAGTAAAGATTAGAAATTAATTAAACTTAAAGTGAGACTGTTATGAATGAAACAAAAGGATTGTTTTAAATTTATTATGATATTTAAAAATAATAATTTTGTTACAACAAAATAAAGCAGATATCTAATTTCATACATAATATAAATCAAAGTTTTAATCAAGTGTTTTATAAGATATTTTTTATATATTAATGAGATAAAAATTCAAATTAGGATCAAGAAATTTTCACCAAACATGAAAAAAAAGTTTTAGCCTGGGGTCGAAAAATAGTAAATTTATTGTGATTACAATTAATATCTAGTCATAAAGTTAATATATAATGGAATAAAAATATATAAAAAAGACATATGCTTTATTTAAAACCTAAAATGCAATGACAAATTCAAAAATATTAATAAAATTTCTCTTTAACTTTCCTAGAAAGTAGTAAAATTGTTGATTAGCCCCTTTTTCTTTTCATTATTTGATATAAGAAGTATAAGTGGGATAGATGACATAAATAAATGACCTACAAAAAAATTTTAAGTTATCTTTAGATAATAATTTATTTTCGAAATATAATTCAAATATTTAAATATAATTCATGTAGCAATTTTTAAAATATTAGATTATGGGGTGATTCATCTAAATTTGTTGTCTGAATGACAAACATAGAATTTTAAGGAACCAGTTAAAATTTGAATTTAATATTTATGCACTTCACTCCTTACTCTTATTTAATATAAAATAAATGGTTACAAGGTTAAGTACTGAAAATTGTTAAGATAATAGATGTCAATAGAAATGTTATGAATGAAAATATATTTATTTGTAACTGTAAATTGTAATGAACTTACTTCCATAAATTGAATGTCACAAATGATTGCAATAAACTATCAACATATGTGAATAATCAATCAGATACTAAATAATGATAATCTAAATAATAATAATGAGATTTAAGTGTAATCCAATTACTAGGTAAACACAAAAGTAGATTTAATCTTTACATATGAATTAACAAAAAGATTAAAAAAATAAGCTTATCACTGTTCTTTATTTTTTAAACTCCTGTCCGGATACCGGCAGTGTTGCCAAGTCATAGTTCTTTGACGAAAAAACTATTAACCATAATTTAAAATATAGGGTTACAAAAATTGTGAACAATCATCTTAGAATTTGTTAAATTTAAATAAAATTAAAATTTTTAAAGGTTAAATTTACGTCTTAAATTCAGAGTATATATAGTGCTTTCTAATTAAAAATTATATTTTTAAAAACTATTAGCCATGACTCGTAACTAAAGAAATTTTAAACAGATAAAGATGGTTTTCTTTTCTTTATTTAGCTAACAGTAAAACCAGTGCTCGACTTAGTAAAATTAAAAAAGGGAAAAGGAAGAAAACATTAAGAAAATAATTAAAAAAGACTCTGATTATTTAAAATTAAAGATCGTCCCAAAAATTGTTAAACTTTATAATTATAATGTAATAATAGTAGGGGGATGCTAAAATTTCTGAAAATTAGTTGGAGTACTCCATCCCCCTGCGTCACCTTCAAGTCGAGCACTGAGTAAAATTATTTAGCTTAACAATTACAAAACAAATACCTATAGTTTAATTGAAGTAAGATAATATTAATTATTATGTTATTTTTAATATACTTAACCGTTGAAGCGTCACATCGCCGACTTGTCGGAATAGGATACACTAAATGAGTATACTATAGGCAGAGGTAGATCTGATTTTTTTACGGCTATAGGTACTAAAAATGTATTACCCCAATTAATGAGCCATTTAAATGTTTAGATCGTTTTTTTTCTCGCTTTTAGTTATTTAGCCTACTTTGGAAAAATGTCAACGGATGTCCATCAAATTTTAATAAAAACGTACATTGATAAATTTTATGAACCATAATTATTAAAACAATTTTTTATACTTAAATATATACTATAATGTATATAATTAAATACTACTGCACTTCAAGATTTGCCGCCCCCTAAATGTTGCTGTCCTAGGCAACTGCCTACTCGGCCTGTTAGGAAATCTTCTCTGACTATAGGTAGCCGTTGCTCGTAACTACATTCACACGTAACAGCTTCGTCCTAAACACACAGAACTATTCGAAACGAAATATAAAGATGCTTTTATATTAACTGATGTTGCACAAATTAAATGTAATTTATTCTAAAATATTTGGTGAAAAATAAATAATAATTCGTAATAAGAAATATTAAACAAAATATTCTAAATGTTCGTGCAAAAACTTCTCATGATAATATAACAATTACAATTAACAACAGAAGTATAAATTATAAATAATTCAAGCTGTCTGAGTAAAATATACGAGATTCAAGAGAAACAAATTACAGGTTTTTGTTTTTTATTTTACAATTTTTTATTAAATTATTTTACATATTTTTAAAATTCCAAGATGTATCATCAGCAAAATCTAAAATACCAAATATTTTAACCAGGAGCGTACCTAGGAATTTTTTATGGGGGGGGGGGGTCCAAAATTTTTATTTTATCTGATGATGAGAAATTAAAATACACCATATCAGTGGCGTATCCATGGGGGGGGGTCAAACCCCTCTATGAACTTGAGATGGTAAATTAAATTTTACATGAAACACGGTTTTTTCTTTAACATTTTTTCATTGTAGAATTTTGACTTGGAAATCATATTAATAGTTTGTATAAACACTATAAATGTACTACACACACACACACACACACACACACACACACACACACACACACAAAAGTCATAATATTATGATCATATTTAGATACTTTACTACTATTTTGATTATTTTTGGTTGGAAACATATTATTTTGGTATTCTACAACGGTTTATTCTAAATTGGTCATCTGGTCCCGATAACTGACATAAAAGCGATATCATTGTCTGTATTCAAAGTTTATTTTGGATATACCTATTGCATTGGCAGCTTGCCGATCATTTAACACAAGCACCTTATTGTGTAAAACTAATAGTTATTAGTTAATAGTTAGTCGTTACCCGTTGGTGTCTCACTGTTTTATTTACTACTTGTTTATTAATTTATATTTGAAATTTATATTCCATTATATTTGTTTTATTTTAATTTGATATCATTCTAAGACGTCTAAACATTTCATTATGGTAAGATATTTTAAAATTTAATTTTTAGTATACCTAAGTGATTAGACAGAACATATTTTAATGTCTAATATTTATGTTCCTATATTAGTTCCTAGTTCCTAAAGTGAAGATTAAATATATATAAATTTGCTGAACCTCTCCCCCCTCATAAAATATTTTTGGGTACGCCGCTGCACTATATACTATTATTATACTATTTACTATTAAATCGTTGAGTATGTATACATTTTAATGGGTGGGGGGGGTCCGGACCCAAAAACTCTCCCCTTGGGTACGCTCTTGATTTTAACTGTGTTACTCATTATTGTTAACGTTTGAAAGGGGAGTATTACAAAATCCTTAAGGGTGCAGTACCAAAAAATATATAGTGTAGCCTCTGATAGACGCACAATATTCAATCCATTTTTAGATCATTTGATTGTTAATTTGGTAGAATTTTTTTTTTTAAATATAATCAAATAATAATCAACTTAGAAAAAGTAATTCCAAGTCGTATTAATATAAACTAGGGCTCTCGGTTTGGTACGTGTATTAATATACACGTGTACACGTAGTCCGAACATTAAATAGTAATATGTAGGAATACCCGTGTATTTAATTATACGTGTTTTTTAAATTTCGTGTACACGTGTATTATATTGTAAATATAATATGTAAATATTCAAAATTTAAAAAATTAATTATAGGTACTTATTTGTATTTTGTCATTAATAAAGGGTTGTTTCTGGCCATGAATTTGATAAATATATATTTATAATTTTTTAGAAAAATCAAATACGAAATTTATAATTTATATTATTATACATGAAACAAATTTGTAATTTATTAAAAGAATTGTCTTGATCGTATTTATAAGTTATTTTTATATTGTTTTTACTGTAAAATATATTATAATACAATCGTATATATAAAACTCAAATTCATAATTATTTATTTATTACTAAAAAAAATTTCCTATTTAAAAGGTAAATTAAATTTGTGTTTACTTTATGTAAACAACATTGGGGGAGGGGAACATGGGGCACGTGCCTATGTTACTCATCCTTGTATCCACCACTGATCATAACGAACGGAGTTTTAATACACTAGTATTCGGACTCTAAATACACGTGTACACGTGTATTTTATTAACATGCATTTTAGCACTGTTTCTATAAAAAACACGTACGAAACGTGTTCTTAAATACACGTGAAATAGACACCCCTAATATAAACTTACTAGATCTATCAAAAGATACTATAACCTTTTATGAAATTGTATTGCCAGTACTTTAAATGAAAAATTCTCCATATAGAAATTAAAATGGCTAAAAGACGACGTTAAAATGTCTTTCGAATGCAATAGAGTCTTTATTTGAATGTGATGAAAGATTTTTCTCGAATATAAGAAAATTATTGGAAATAAATGAATAATCAACTTTACGCATATCTACAGTAACTACAGAAAGGATATATTCTACTCTATGAAGAATCAAAACATATTTACGCAACACAACAAGGAAAGAGCAATTAATTGAGTTAGCTTTTTTATTAAATCAAATATAAATTGCTGTTGATCCTAATTAAGAAGTTGTGGAAAGGTTCGCTTTAACACCTTGAAGACTAGGATTTGTTTTATAATTGCTAATTTTTTCCAATTATTATTATCATAAATAAATTGTAAATATTTTTTAAATTATCTACTATCTATTTATATGACCAATTTATGACGAAAAATGATTCAAAATGTATCATAAATTATTATTGATTTTTTTTTATTACTATTGAATAATATGTATAATACAATTTGTATTAATATTGTTCAGTATTATATTGTATACGTACTCGTATACACACCAAAATTATTATCTTATGAAATTATTACATTTAAAATACATGGTAGTAAAAATATTGGACTCTCCCCTAAAAAAAATTTCTAGGCCCACCCTTGCTTTAGTCAAATTTTATCAGTTATTTATTTTATTTGATGTTATACTTGCTAGTCCATTACTACAGTTAGCATATACGATTAAAATCAAAGATTTTAATTTTTAATTTATATATTAAAAAAATTATTATATTCCATACTATATTATAAACTATATTGTGTTTGTATATAAAAAAATATTATAAATTAAATATTAATTAACTTTTAATTAAGATTGGATTCAAAAAATTGTTGTAAATAAATGTTATCCACTATCCATGGACACCCAGAAAAGGGTGGTAAGACGGGAAAAATTAATCGAACGGTTAATAACAAGGTTTGAAATCGAACAACTGCGAAGACTTCAGTTTTTATTTGATAACGATTAAAGTGTGTACAATTATGACATATTTTATTGTTTGCTAAGAAAACATTTTTTTAATATATTTTTTGCTGTTCGATTTAATTATGCCCCCCTTGATAAATTTCCTGCGGTCGCCCATGCCACTATCAAATGTAAAGATTTTTATAATCCCTTTATTATGTTATTAGATGTCACAAAGAATTTTTTATATATTAAAACAGCTTATACATTTTTAATACATTTGAAATTGAAGAAGAGACTATAGGTTTGTTATGTGTACCTATTATCTATAGTATAAAGTTTACATATAAATAATTAATTTATATATGGTACCTACCTCATTTATATCTAGTTCTTAAAATCTGTTATGTTAAATTTTGTTACTTATATTAATAGGCATTTAAAATTTTTAACAAATTTTAGAACTACTAGTCTAAAATAAATTTTGGCACTCATGATGTGAACTACGACTACCTACAACAAAATACTGCCCACTCACAATTCCTCCACACACATTCTCTATTTCTATAATTGCTTAAGTTGACGGCCAATGTGAATTAGTGCGTCCTAAGTAAGTCAAGTCATCCATGCATACTATACTATAATAAATGACGTGGTGTGGCATTTCCAGGATTTTTTTCGTAAGAGTTTTCTCTTTTAACATTTATTGTGTTGGGTTTTGGTCATTGAAGTTCTAAGTTAATGTTTAATTGTACTGAAAACATTAACAACAAAAATATCAGTTTATCTTAAAATGAAGGTAAACTATAAATCCGATTTATCTACGTTCCACTTTAAATTTTCAAATAACTTAAGTGAAAATAAGGTTGTTCTTTTAGAAGGATGAAGGGTATTAAATATTAATAATTATAAACGTTTAAATTATAATATTTTATGTTTGTAAGTCATCTATGAAAATTTAACAAAGAAAAATTATTTAGGTAATCAAATAGTATTATAATTAGGAACTTGGAAAATGAGAAACTTTACTTTGTTTAATAATAAGAAAGATATAAAATATAATTTATAACTTATGCGCTATTAATTCTTAAATATTATATTTTTTTGATTAGGTAAGTTAAATCTTTCTGTCCTCCAGGCTACGAACTGCGCCTAATTATTATGCATTATTCAAACATTAAATAAATAATTATGGGTTGTGTTTCCAATAATTGTATGTGATACAGTGATGAGTATTTTATGGCGTAGTGTTGCTAAGACGAATCATAGGTCTTTCTCCAAAATCTTAAGAAAACTATAAAAATTAATTTTTTTAAGAGAATGGTACTTTCAAAAACATAAAAGTTGAAGTCATAGTTTTCAAAATTAACTCAAGTTCTAGTAAAAATGTCATCAAATTAAAGGAAAAGTAAATGTTACCGTTGTGATAGCAATATTGTGATTTATTTTTTACGATGCCGCATTAGCCAAATGGGAGATCTTATATTAAGTACGTTAAAAATGATATAGTCATTGCCATTGTTGTTTCTGATACATACACAGTTAGCATAATTAACATGAATTGATTGATATAATTATTGTCATAGATGAATTAATATAAACGCGTTTATTAGACATGTATATGAGTGTCCAACGATGTACCACGAGGAAGAATAATTGCGTTTTATGTTAACGAACAATACTTTCTTTCGGATGAAAATTTGTAATTTAATACTGAACAACTTTTCCATAAATTAATTGGTGAGGGGTGATTAAGATTAAATCTCTGTCGACCTTTTAATCCCGTCACTGGTGTTAACGTATGTCGCATGTGTAGGGCGTGTGTCGAGTCGTATTGCGAACAAGCATAGAGCGCAATAAACATCGTACAGCAGCGCATGGAAGTGGGAACATTTTGAGAACCAATGGCTGGGGTCGCCGTACACCCTTTGTTGGCAGCATTGGTCTTCGTTCACGGCAGATTTCGTGACAAATGGCAACTACGATATTTCATTTATTTATTTATTTTTTTTTCATTAATTATAATATATTATTTTATCGTGTTTGAACGTCATACGGGCTGCAGAAGCGATTCCACCGACTCGCCGACCGCCGGCCCGAATTTATTTACGGTCACTGCGCGATCTTCTGCAATTGCTAACAGGAAATTCGTCGTATCGGTATAATACAAGTGCGTCTGCGGTGAAAAAAAAAAACCCGTAATAGTAATAATATAGTAATAATAATCATAATAATAATAACAAACGAGATTCTTTTCATCCGCACATATCAGCGCAATAGAATTGTCATCTGCACAGCAATATCGCCGACAGATTAATGCTGTAGCTTTGTGTGCGCGCGCTCGTTTATCTGTATCTGTGTGTGTGTGTATGCGCACGAGTGTGTATCTTTATTGTTATCATTTGTCGGGGCGTGTGTGCGCGTTCGGCGAAGTGATGGCGTTTAGATGAGGGGTCCATTGACGCCGTTTATTTTGCCGTCACTTAACATGGACGACGTGTCGTACAACGGCGGCAAGCAGGGCCAACAGCAACAACAGCCTGGTGGCGGTTTCGGCCAGAAAGGCGACAACGGCGATGGTGGTAGTCTTAACAACAAGGTGAAGTACACGATGCCCGGCGTGTTGCATTTTATTCAGCATGAATGGTCCAACTTTGAGTTGGAGAGGTCCCATTGGGAAATCGACAGAGCCGAATTGCAGGTGAGTCACTGCAATGAATTGGTAATGTTTATTAGGTAGCTCGTTAGAAAGGCATACAGGCATCATTTTGTTGAGTGGGGTAGATAGATAGGGTCCAGGAGTGTTGCAGTCTCCAGTGTTGAATGGCACAAAACATTCGTGGTCCGATCATTTTATTCCTTGTCTATAAGCTCATAATTTATAATATTGCAATAAGCAAAGTGTAAAATTTCATATCTATTCCTTAGATTTTATTACTCCTAAATTTGGAATTTAAAGACAAGTATTTCATTAAAAAAAATCTATTAACTCTGAATTAATTTTGCATAATCCTATTAGTTTTGTTGTTACCTGTTGCTGAATTTTATTTATAAGTTACCTGTAATTATAAATCAAAATTTACTCATAGATGTATGACAAATTATCCTCAAGTTATTGATTAATGTAAATATAGGAATGTATATATATATATATAAACTTTTTTTCCTTAACTAATGGTCTTTGTAATGTACAATTGTAACTAAGCCTAGGTTGGATGAATGTATACTATATTAGTAACTAATGTAGTACGTAATATGTAAGTAAGATATTTACAAATTAGTTATTCACAATCAATAATTTCAAATTTAATTTCAATCTATAAAAAATTATGTAGACTAATAGTATAAAAAAAATAAATCTTCAATAGACTTATTTATCTAGCACCCATTATCCCTTAAATACTAGCTTTGACTAGTATCATTGAAGGGTTATGTATTTTTTTTATAGTTTTAAATATATCATCATTAGATTTTTATCAATTTAGTTATAATATTTATACTTATAATATATAGTTATAAGTCCAGTATTTTACTGTTTATTTGAAATCAAATTTATAAAATAAAACTTATAGTTTTTGGTCCAATGAGACTTGTTTTTACATAGTATGTTGATTTCCTATTAATTTATTACTTAAAATACTTGGTTTAACTTTTTTCTTGATTTATTCATAAAGTTGCATAATTGAAATCTGAAAGTAGAGTGAAAAAATTTGCTTTATCTTAAATTTCAGTTCTCAAGATTAATTAATATTTTAGGGAAAAATATAATATGTGTGATTGAGAATTTTGAATTATCATGCTTCTCCTGTATATTTAACATATTTGATGTTATTTATGAATGTTAGATACATTTTATATTTTAAAATTAAAAATTGAACTGAACATAATTGAAGGTTTAATATAATTTTTTAAGTGTTGTTTTTTATTTATTCTCTATATTTATTTATAATCTGTTTATACCCATAGAATTATTAAAACAATTAAAAATTTGATGGTTCTCAAGACAAAGTATACTATATAAAAGTATCTTTATAGTTTACATACATTTATTCATTAGGTAATTGTTAAGAACCTGTTTTAATAATAACTACTGTTTTCAATTATGCATTTATATAGATTTTTATTATTATTGTACTTACAAGTTTATATTTTTCCAATCAATTAAAATACATACGTTTAATATTTTGAGAAATGTGCCTAAATATACATTTTTATCAACTGAATATTGATATAATCTATAAATAAATATGCATTGAATATAAAATTATAATATATAATTTATTCAATGTTTAGTTTTATAATTGATTTTTATTTTATTAGGCCAGAATAGCATTTCTTCAAGGAGAAAGAAAAGGCCAAGATAATCTGAAAAATGATTTAATTCGTCGAATTCAAATGTTAGAACATGCACTACGAGCTGAAAGGTAATATTTTTATTTTTAATAAAGAATACCTTATACCTACTTGATAATGCTTGATATTTATATTTATTTAAAAACTCAAAAAATGTATTAAAAAATGTCTAAAATTTTACAAAAATTACATTACATGTACATAAATATTTTATTTTACTTCATATATTAAAAAATAAAAAATAATTCTTTATTGTTACAATAAATCACGAGAGCTTGTCTCCTGTTGTTCCCCAATAAGTTTTTGTAGATATACATATTTTTTTCTTGTTCTTTAATTTGTTCTCTTCGTTGTACTCCATTAATATGTTTGTTTCTTGATATATGTTGTTGTATGGTAAAACGTTTTTCAATAGCAACTTTTACATCGCATACCTTACACAACAACATTAATTTGTCGGTTGAAAAATCTATAATCTAAAATTTTAAATTCAAAAACACCAAAAATGACTTAAAAACCCCTAAAATGCCTAAAAAAATGAGAAATAAAATTCCTTATTCTAATTTAAAAATACCTAAAACATATTTATAACAAAACGAGCATCGTACAGAAAGCTTTAGAAAAAAATGCAAAGTGCATCGAAATCCCAGCCCTAGTTATAATAAATTTCAATTTTTATTCTAAATAAACTATAGTTATTAATTTTAGAATTTAAATTATAGATAATATATAACTGTTGGAAATTAAGTAGTAGAGCAAAGAGTACGTTGATTTCAATGATCTATATAACTAAATTGAATTTTTTTTTTTAATGCATATATTAGTGAACATTTTTAAGAGACATAATGAACAATGAGGGTATCATATTTAAAAATTTGGGCAAATGAAACAAATCTAAGTGAATAATAATTTAATAAATTACGTAAAATGAATAAAAAGATAAAATATTTAATATAATATGAAGTAATGACGAGTAATAACAATATATTGTTCATTATTTATTAATGGTTTGTTATTTTTCTTGCATCAAACGTAATTGATTGCAGATTAATTTTATAAAATAATCTACAATATTTCCATGAAAAATATAACAAATTAAATTTCTATTTTATTTTTATTTATTGAATAAATTTGTTTTGGATTTATAGAGCAAAATATTATAAATTAAAATATGGTACAGAAATGCCTCAGTCTGAAATGCAATTACCTTCAGCTTCTTCAAATACACAAGAAGAATATACTTCTATACCTGAAGTTGGTGCAGATAGTGAAGCTCCATTGTCATCTGTGTCAAATGTCAGTTGGAAACAAGGCAGACAATTACTTAGAGAGTAAATAAATAATTTTATTATTATTTATTTATTTATTTATTTATTCATATAACTTTTTTTGCAGATATCTACATGAAATAGGGTATACAGATACAATTATTGATGTTCGATCATCACGTGTTCGTAACCTTTTAGGGTTGAACAATAATAATAATTTGAGTGGTTTAGAGCAAGGGCAAACTGAGAATAATCAGATAAATGGTAACAACTATAATAAACGTTTTAGTGATAATCAAGGCCAGTGCTCACCTACTAAACGAGTAAGTATGTTTGAAATTTGAATATATAAACAATTTATACATTCAACATTTTCAGACACAACAGCAGCAACAAAACCAAAAGAAATTATTGGACGTTGAGTCAGCTGTAATGGCTAATTTTGATTTTTTATCAACAATGCGTAACACAAATGATTCTGGTGATGTAGACATGGATGATGATGGTGTTGATGATGATGATGATGATGATGATGATGATGAAATGGGAATGGCAGATGATGTTATTGACATGACATCTATTTGTAAAGTATGATAATGTAGTAGAGTTGTGTTTTTTATAATTATAAGTATTAATATTAATTATTTTTAGTTTGGCCCTGATGATGTTGATGCTGAGGCTGAAGAAGTTGTGAATGAGCTTCAATTATTAACAGAAGATATAAGTAACAAAGAAAATGAGCAAAGTGATTGGAGTATGTTATTTTTTATATATTGTATTTAAAATTTAACTTAACACATTGTTTTTTAGAAATTCCAAATAGAGATGTGTTCAACAAGAATACAAATAATGCAAATTGGATAAAAAATGAACCAGTCGATGAAATGGTTGATAATAATTTGGATTTAGCTTTAGGATTAGGAGAATTGGCACAACTTACTGTTAATAATGAATCAGAAAGTAATGCGGACGTGAGTTAATCAATATATTTCTATTTAAATATATATTTAATAAACATTATTTATTAAATATATATTTAATAAATATTATTTATTAACTACCATTACTTTGTAGGTTGTTGATATGAAAACTGCTTCACGAAAAACATGGAATGCTAAATATACTTTGCGTAGTCATTTCGATGGTGTTCGTGCTTTGGCTTTTCATCCTACTGAATCAATTTTAATTACCGCTAGTGAAGATCATACTATGAAACTTTGGAATCTTCAAAAAACTGTGGCTCCAAAAAAGTAAATATATTTTTTCATTATAATTTGTATTTTTTTGATTAATTTTTAAATTATATTACTTATAGATCAGCGTCTTTAGATGTAGAACCTTTGTATACATTTAGAAGTCATACTGGACCTGTATTTTGTTTGGCAATTAGTAAAAATGGTGAACACTGTTATAGTGGTGGGTTGGATAATGTAATCAAAGTTTGGTCAATGCCTTCTGTTAATATTGATCCCTATGATTCTTATGGTATTTAAATTGAATATTTATAAAATAAGTCTTAAAAAGTTATACTAATTTATTTTGTGTTTAGATAAAAATATTCTTATAAATACCCTGGAAGGTCATGAAGATGCAGTTTGGGGAATTTCAGTTCATCATAACCGTTCAGAGTTGTTATCATGTTCAGCTGATGGTTCAATAAAACTCTGGTCACCAACAAATCTCAAGTCACCTTGTCTGTCATCTTATGTTTCTGATCAAGGTATAATTAATAACTTTAAATTATGATTATTAAATTTTATTTAATAACATATATTCAGAATAAATTTTATAAAATAATAAAATGTATACTTATATGTCTAAATTTGTTTACATAGATGAAACTCCTACTTCAGTTGATTATGTTAGAGATGTAGAAGGTCAATTTGTTGCATCTTATAATTCATCTCATTGTGTTATTTATGATATTGAAACAAAGAGTCCTATAACTCGATTAGAATGCTCAAAGGTCAATATTTACCAATTTTAAAAGTTATGTGATGTTAAAGTACTAAGTAATATTTTGTTATTATTTTAGGATCCAGCTGAAATGGCAACTCAGTTGATTCATCGAGTTAAATGCCATCCTACATTGCCTTTAACTATTACAGCACATGATGACCATCATATTCGTTTCTTTGATAATAACACTGGTAAAATGGTTCATTCTATGGTTGCCCATTTAGATGCTGTAACTAGTTTGGCAGTTGATCCTAATGGCTTATATTTATTATCTGGAAGTAAGAAATTAATTTCTTCCAAAACTATGAAACATTGCTTTAATTGTTTTATTTCAGGTCATGACTCATCCATCAGAATATGGAATTTAGAAAGCAAGACTTGTGTACAAGAAATTACGGCACATCGAAAAAAATTAGATGAATCTATATTAGATGTTGCGTTTCATCCATCTGAAGCGTACATTGCCAGTGCTGGAGCCGATAGCCTAGTCAAAGTATTTGTATAGGTACAGTTATTGTATAATATAAATTAGTAGGACACTTGGTTAAATTTATCTTAGTGTCTTGTTTGACCAATTTCTGATCAAATCCATCATTGTAGTGTTTTTGCAGTAATCATGATTTATTAAGTTCAATTTTTTTTTTTATCTGTTTAATTATTTATTTTTTCCTTCAAAATAAACATTTAAAAAGAACATTTTTGTGCATAATTTATTAAGTTTCTGTGATTTTAATTTTTAGTAAAATTATAGTTTTTAAGATTTTATGTAATATCATATTTTGTATGATTAATCTCCCATTATTAATAATAATAATTATATTTATTTTTAATCCCTCTATTTTCATTATATTTAATTTTAATTTCAAGTATTTTGTTAAATGTACTTTATTTTTGGTAATGCTGTTGTTAAAACATTGTTTTTATTTATAACTTTCTCAGTTTATTATTTAGCAAAAGATAACAAAATATAAGACCAAAATCCATACTAATCATATTAAAAAGTAGTGAATGTAAATGTTTCAAACTATAACCAATTTTTAAATATATTAAATTTGTGAAGGACAAAGAATTTAATAAACTAGTTATTTTTATTTTTTTTACTTACAAATGTTTTGAAAAGAAAAATTTGTCAATGTACTCTGATATTTCATTTTATACTTCAAAATAGTTACACCTGTTAAATTATAAAATTTAATTGTTTACGATAATTAAAATTATTGAATCTCAAAAAGTACTACCACCCTATTTTGGTGATCAAACTGGGTTCTTGTGTATGTGTATGTGTGTGTGTATGTATCTGAGTGAATGTCCATCCATGTTTTATTTATTTACTATTCTTAAACCGTAACAAAACATATAAATATTTATATATATATATTCAATATTGACTCTAGTCATTTTATATTCTTTTCTCACATTGAAATTGACATTAAATTTTTTATTTAAAAAAAGGGACCTTAATTTCTAAAATTGAAATATCTCGCATTTAATTAACAACAATAAATTATCATTGTTTACTTAATAATAATAATAATAATAAACAAATATTATGTATATATATATATATATATATATTGTATATGTACAATATGTATTTTAAGATCAAAAAATTAAATAATTAATTAGTTTTAACATTTCATTAAAATAAAAATTTTAAAATAATTTATGTTTAAGTCTAGTCTGACAATATCATTCAATAACTACACAACAATATTTATATTTATTATCTAAATAAAGTATAGTAAAATATATGTGCCTGTTTCATAGTGAAACTCAAATGTATTCCAGAGTGGTTGATTTTAAATGTTGTATTATAGTTATGTGAATTACTTGTGACCCAAGTATAATACGGTGGTCTTGGCTTATTTTATTTGAAAACTAAAGAAAGCTATGTATCATATTTAAATATCATATTTATTGTATTGGCAAATGTTCTGCCATTTTTGTTTTAATTAATAACAATTTTTAATATTTTTCTTAGTACAATAAATGCAAAATGAAACAGACACATTATTATTTATTGGATATGTCGTAAGAGTTATAGCCTTATTATACTATCCAAGTGTGTTGACCTTATGTGATTACTGTAGAAAAGTGTATGTACATCAACACTACTATGAAATAAGTAGAATAATATAAAAATAAATAATATTTAAAAAAAGAGAACCTAATGTACCTATACTATAACTTGTTGTATGATATTATATACTGTTGTAAAAATAAATAATAAATAAATATCATAAAATGGTTTTTTATTTTCCTGTAGATTATTCTTTTATTATTTATTATGCTTATTGTACCTTATTATTATCTGTTTATTGATTTAAGATAATGAAGACATTTTGATTAAAAAACTGATGTTATGTTTTTATATGGGATATTGATAGACATTGAACCTAAACTTTAAAATATTAATTATATATTGTACATTTTTAATTTTAGTGAAGTAAATAAAACAAGTATATGACCCATATCAATATGCTGAGTTACATAATTATTTAAATTATTTTATAGGTAATCATACTGTTTACAGTTTTTATACCAGCTTAGAAGTAGCCTTTTCCAAAACATTTCGTTATTTTGTCTTGAATTTATACTTAAAATAACATTTTTAATTCTTAGATAGTACTTGTTAGAAATCAAATGAGTTGCTTAAGATTCTTTGTATAATTGAAATTATTTATATAAATAATTTCATAAATAACCCTGTGTGCAACACCTATTTTATCATTAATATTTTACGCTTTTTTTTGTAATATTGCAATAAGTATATACTTTTTACAACTGGAGTTGACATTATTAACATCCTTATCTTTATAACTTTTCTTATCAGTATTCATTAAATATTTTGAAGAAAAAAATTTTACCCATTTATTATCATTAAAACCATGAATAATTTTTTAGTGATTCAATATTGATATCAATTTAAAAACCTTTTATTTTATTTTGTTCATTTATATAATAGTAAATGCCAATTATTTTTATAAGTAACCATAAGACCTCCTAAAATGTTATACTTTTTTGAGTATTAAAAAGTTAAAGTTTAAATAACATTTTCACATTTCTATACATTTTAATACAGAGTCAATTTTTATGTACAATTATATAGAGTAAATAGAATTTAATCTTACCTTGTTATGATTCATTTAATATATGCTTTTAAAATAATTGTACAGCATATATTATCAAGGTATTTACCATCATAAAATAATTAATTTTTATGAAGACAATAAAACGATTTTGTTTAAATAAATTTATTTCATTATTATAATGAGAAAAATTGTAATCAACATTTAAAATAATTTAAAAAAAAAACATTCAGTCTCATATTAAAAAAAAAAAAATGTAAGAACATTTGCGAAAATGCTATAAATACAAGTGTACAATAATCAATGTTAAATTTGAAAAATTACTAAACTAACAGAGTACTAATGTTTTTACTAGTTTATTTAATCATTTGTTTTAATTTAAATAAAATAGAAAAAATGATTCAAAATTATTGAAACAGTATTTATGATTTACCTCTATTATGTTAAATCTAATAGAACACATTATATTTTTTATTTACAGAATAAAAACAAGTAAAATATTCTACTGAACAAAATACTGATTAGTTTCCAAATTATTTTATAAAGATACTGCTAAAATTAAATGCACATTTAACCATCAAGTAAATAAACATCAATAATTATTCACTTATTAATCTAGATACAGTTGGGATAACAGTTTGGATTAAAGTAATTGGTTTTTGTCATTTATATTGTATTTATTATATACATAATTTAGGTATATAGATCAAATGCATAAAAATACACAATTTCAACAAAAAAGCTATCAACAATTTATCTTAATTCTTAGTCATCAACATTTTTTGTAGTGGAAATTTCTTCTAATCGGGCGCCCATGCAAGGTCCAGCTTTTACATTAGAAGTATCAACATAATCATGTTGTGAATTGTACCATGTTACTGATAATCTTCTATCCTGAAATAGTTTACCCTTGATCTTGGCAGTTTCAGCATCTTTTCTTACTTCATATTTAATAACTAATGCTGGAATTATTGTATCTGATATATACTCAATAATGTTACCAAATTGTAAAAAGTGTGTTACAACTTGATCTTCATCATCTGCTTCATATCCAGACACTAATAATTGAGTTGGCCGATGATCAACTGAAATGCTGGTAGTTTTAGTTTCCCGTACTTTGTTTTTAGCTTCGAGCAATTTGTTAGCAATAGCTAGTTTTTCTTTCATTTGATAGGCAGTTTTGGCCGTCCCAGTTGCAGGTGTGATTCCAAGAGCTTTCAATTTATTTCTCAAAATCATGACATTTTTTTTCAAATCTAATAGTTCTTTTTCATCACTTTGTCCTTGTTGTTGTTTAATAAATAAATCCAAGTCAGTTAATAGTAAATTCTTTAACGCTTCTTGTTTAGCTTCTAATAGTTTATCCTCTTTTGTGGGAGTTTTTGGAGGTAGACTTTTTACAACTTTCAAGTTAGCCTGAGAATTAAGAGGTCTTTTTACAGCAGATGCCAGATCTGCTTGAATACTTTCAATGTTAGTTTTCAGTTGATTAATAGTTGCCATTAACATTTGTTTTTGTTCTCCTTTAACATTAGGCGCAGCTTCTATTAATTTATTTAATTGTTCTAACTGTTTGTCCAATAATTCTTGTTTTCGTTTTGTAATGGCAGCAGAAAAGTCTTGAGCTAGTTTTTTAGCTTCTTCTTGTTTTTTGATCAATGATGTTTTAATAACTTCTGCTTCTTTTTCATTTGTTAATCGTGTTGCACCAGTAATTCTATTATCCAGAGATAGAGTTTTAGGTTTTTGGGGTTGTGGTGTAGTAGTTTTTTCTTCAATTGGTTTCACTTCAGCTGAATTATCAGAAAACCAATTAGCTGTAATTGGTAAAGTACCAAAAACAGTTTCTATATTTTGATGGGCTTTTTGTGCTTCATGAGAAGAAGAGAATGTAATTGTAGCTTCTTTATTTTCACTGCTTGTTTGAATGTTGGTAATTTTTCCGAATTTCATAAAACTATTATTTAAGCTACTAATGTTATTTAAATTTTCTGGAACATTTTTCAATTTTACTTCGTTTGAGGATACTTTAGGGCCTAAACGTCTATAATCAAACTTTGGCTTTTTATTATTGTTATTGGAATTATTATTATCTTCTTTTTTAAAATTCTTTCTCTTAAAACGATTTTGGTTTTCACCTGTAGGCACGCTAACCAACTCACGTTTTTGTTTAGAAAATTTTTGTTCTCCACTTCCTCGTACCCAGTATGATCCTTCTGTAGATGGATAATACATTTGCTGATTTTGGGCAGGGAGATATGGTTGAACTGGAACTGGTACAGGTACATTTTGAATAGGAACTACTGGAAATGTAGGTGTTATTGTGTTGGTAAAAGATTGGAAATTTAAGACACCATTACCTGTAGCTAATACTACAGGATCTTTACCATGATCATAAACACATAAATCACCTTTCATACAATATCCTTTTTCATCAAAATCAATACATCGTCCTAATGTTTTTTTTTCAACACCTTCAGATTTTTTAAATTCAGCAAATATGTCTTCTTTAGGTTTTTTAACAGGTGATCCAGATGGAGACCGTGAACGGTTTTTAGGTGATCTGAATCTACGTTTAAATTTGGGAGATTTTGAACGCTTTGGTGACCATGATCGACCGTGGTATCGATACTTACGATATGATTCTCTTTCTTCATCTTCATCACTAGTGTGATCATCTCGACGATAATGTTTAGTTCTCGTAAACTTGACATCCTTAGTTCTTGGTGATCGTGATCGTACGAGTGAACGGGATCTCGATCTAGGCTTTTCTACTTCTTCTTTAATTGGTTTATCACATAATTTCTCACCGGTATCAGATTTTTCACCAGATGAAGTGACTGCAGTTTCACTTTTGACATCGACCGGGTCATCATTTAAGTAAGATTCGTTCTTCAACGTTTCAACGAGTAACGCGGTAAAGTGTTCAGTATCGTTATTCAAGAACTCTTCCAGTTGTGATAGAAGGTACTTTTGTAGTTCATTTATCGGCCGATCACGTTTTAACAATGCAAATATGTATTTAGCTAACGCTGCGGGTTCAGCTTCGCATACTGGTCCCAGGACTGCTGTTAGCCAGATTTTGAAACGTTCAGGATCCTTGATTTGCATCGTTCGCGCAACTAATGATGGTAAACACTAGTATCAATAGCTGTGTGAGACGCTATGGATTAGTAACTTGTCTAATTTCAGAACAAAATGGATAATTATTTACTCTGGTAACGTATGGGCACTATGGGCAATTCACTAATTCACTTCACGAAAATCTTGTGTCAACGTAAGTGGTCTCTACATGGGTCCATAATTCTAAATATCCCTTTTACTGGTCACACTGGTAATCAAAAATAATTTCTTTAGCTCGCGGAACGTACTATATTTGATTAAAAAAATAATATCGATGATGAATAAATTGCGGCAAACTGTATTTTTGAAACTGAAGTTCGAAATATCGACCGCGAAAAAAGTTAGCGTTTTAAACAAAGTGTCGAATGTTTTATGTTGGTCACACGTTTCAAAAAGTCGGTCGATTCCCTTTGGTCTGATCACTTGCGGCCGCGCAGTAATTTTGTTTTTATCCCTTTGGCTTCTGCGCTATTATATTATTTTTAGGATTTTCTTTGATTTTCCGTCTGTGTGACCGCGTAATTGCTACAAAATGCCGAAAGTTGGTTGACAAGTTTGGCTTAATAATCCGTGAGTATTTATAATATATTTTTATTATTGCCTAGATTGAATCGAATTTTAATGTCCTGCGCTACTATATGTAGGTACCTATTATGGACGATTATAAATATAATATTTGATTGACATTTCTTGTTTAAAGACCGCTGGTTGCGACCAAGACGATAATAAGATATATTTTTAACTGTTGGTGGTTTTTATTTACGGAATATAAACAACATAGTGATTTTTTTTTTATATTTTTAAGAAAAATTCTAAAAATACCAGTAAATAATGTAATAAAAATGTTAATATTGTTGTTATTATGTACAGCTTGATTGTTGATTGATAAACACAATTGTAGATTGAATTTCTTATGAACTGTTAAATTTCATTAGGGGCTGCATAGTACATTCGCACGATAATACGAGTACATCAAAATCTAATAATGATTACGTAATGAAAACGAATGAAATATGAATTCACACTTTTGGAAAATGTATACTAATTACTAGAGTTAGGATGTCGATGCCCTAAAAAACACAAAATGCCAAAAAAAAAAAATTCTAAAATGTCCTAAAAACTCAAAAAAATTAATTTAAAAGATAATCATAAATTTCTACTTAAATAAAGGAAAAACATTTAATTTAAAAATAAAATAATAATTTTTATTAGAGATATAGGTGTCAGAGTACTTTAAAATATGAATCGTAATAATAATAGACAATAGTATACATTAAATTTTAATTATCAGGTATATAAAATTATTAAAAAATAATTAAAAAGTAAAATAGAAATAAAAAAAATATATATAAAAAATATATAAAAATATTCTAATTTATTTTCATATTGCACTGTACAATTAAAATGTGTCTAATATTTTCAAATAAAAATCTATCGATCAGTTAATAAATATTTGTATGATTATGAATTTTGCTCAAGATCAACGGACGTTATGGGTGTATACTTGAAGTAGATCATGTCATCAATAGTTAGATTTTCTAGAATGTCTTCTCCTTGATAAATGTGTATGATCGACGTATGTGTGAAAAAGTACTCGTTTTAGAATTGTATAACATGCATATATATGGTAAATCCAAGGGTGAGTAAGCTCATAGGGAAAATGGAATTTTCTCTGTGGCCCCTCGCCCTATATTATGTCGGTAGCCTCCTCGATACCATTAATTTTTTCATGAAAATTTATTTTTTTTAATTATTATTAGAAATTATTTTTTTTTATAGTTAAATTATTTAAATTAAATTAGGATAAGTAAATATAGTATATTTTTTAAAAGCAAATTTTTTTTTCATTTTGGTGGCCCCATTAAAATATTTCCCTGTAATAAAAAAACTACCTATCCACATTTGGGTAAATTCATTTGGGTAAATTCATTATCGTTGTTAACGGACAAGCAACTTAGGCAATTGTCTTAGGCCTCGCACTTCAAATAAATTCTAGGGCCCACAATTTGTCAAGTTAGAATAATTAGATATATTTAAGAGCAAGAAAACTGTATTGCTTATGCAGAGGGGTTCGTAGAAAGCTTGGGTTGGCTCTGAATAAATAATATCAATACATGATAAATCACAACAAAAACCCCATAATAATAATAAAATTATTGAATATTATTTAAATTTTATTCAAAATCTAAAATTTGAGAATAATGTCCCCCTTCATGGTATAAAAATTACAAGAAATGGCGTAAAAATATAAAAAAATTACATTCAAAAACAAAAAAAAAAGCCCTAAAATGCAAAATATTAGTATATTCTGAACTAAAGAAGCACAACAATTTTTTGTACCTAAGATAGCATTGCATAGGATTAAAAGAAAAAAAAATACAAAAGTCATCTACATCTTAACTACTAATTACTAACGTACATGTAGATTTATATTATATGGCATTGGCGTACGCAGGGGGAGAGCTATCGGGCTGAAGTTCCTTAATTGTCGGTATTATTATTTTTTTTCATGGCTGTGAGCAAATAATATGATGTATTCATATAAATATTAAATATACTACACTACACATAGGTCGTAATAATTTCATTTTTCATCGTTAGTACTAAGTAGCTATAGACATTAATTTAATATCTATGTTAGTAACACACTACTCAGTTGTGTTGATCATCCGAATTCTTTCCACACCCTCCGGCCTTGTCATGACCAGTCCTGTATACTTTGGTCCTTGTTTATTTTTGTCCAACTAATAAATCAAAGAAAAACTAGAAGGAAAAACATATAGATATAGTCTATAATCTATATCGACGATATAAATTATAACCTATATTATGGACTTAGAAGATATCTTCTAAGACCGTGGTCTATATCAATAACGAAAACTGATTAGAATCTAATCTGTGGTTTTACTAAAATTGTCAATAGTTGCCTTTTGGCAAGACAGTGTTGTGTTGTCCGTATAAAGATAATTCCCATAATGTTTATATTATGTATTATTAAATGTATATTGTACACTGTATATTATTTATTCTGTACATTATTAATTTTGATTATATACCTACTATGGCCATATTTGATCAAATTTTTGATTTTATAAATATTATATTCATGTGTACTTTGTTCTAGAGGTCACGATTACACGTGTAATGAACTACACGGGTACCCGTGTTTTTAAACAAGACGGGGTTAAGGCCCGTGTAGTAAAAATACCTGTGTATTTAAATACCCGTGTATCTTAATACCCGTTTTATTAATACCCATGTATTTAAATACCCGAGAGCTAAAATGAAAAGTAGGTATAACAAATAATACAGAATTCATTTATTTTTTTGTATTTTCATTCATTTTAATATCTCAATATTTTAAATTTCGTTTTTTTCCAAAAAAAAGTTGTATTGCCTAATTATTAAATAACAATAAACATATGTATATATATATATACATAATTCAAAAATTAATGGTAATAACTATAATAATATAGTATAAAATAAATATAAAATAATAATAATAATATTAAATTAATCAACAAGCATTATGTACTTTGTAATAACGCATAATATAGTGCAAAAAATACAAAAGCAATCACTCACGATCTAGGAAGTTATAATAATTGTTTGTTTTGATAAAGAAAAATCAGCATGTTTACCGTCTCGGGCGACAAACAACTTCTCTTGGCTGTCACTATGTTTCTAGGGGTCGAGAAACATCTTTCCGAACTTACTGACGTTGCTGGTATCCCTAAATATTTCTTTGCCAAAGCAACAATTAGTGGATATTTTGATGCTCGTGTCTTCCACCATTCTAGTGCATCAAAATCAAATTTTTACTGTGGTTCTGCTAAGTAAGGTTGATACTGAATGTCAGAACCAAATGTATCATAGTTTACTTCATCGCCAAATAAAAATTCAAGAGCATCGTTATGTTTAATTACAGATAACGATGCTCTTGAATTTTTTGCTGAAATTAATCACGATATGCAAATTGAAACATGTTTAATTACAGATGTTTCAATTTGCATATCGTGATTAATTTCAGCCATTTTGTTTATCAAATTTTTAATCCGTGTCCGAATTTTCTCTCTTGCTTCAACCGTTTCATGCTCCAAGTCTTTAAAATCTTGGGTCTAAAAAATACGCTATCTGCCTAGCAGGCACAATAGAAAGACACCACAGTAATTTGAAACGATCTGAAAGTACTCTTATTACAGTGGTTTTAAAATGTTCAGCTATTTCATCATTACTTATATTATGCTTTAAATGCTTTTGTATAACTGTGTTTAGAAGAGGCCTAAACATTGAACTAGAACAATATTTTTCCCACAAAAAATAGTAGTCATAATTTATAGAGGTTTAAGCAATTGTATTAACGTTTCAACATCTGTCCATTGGTGCTTCGTCACTTAAAATTTGTGTGCCATCGCTGCTATAGTCATCGAATGATCAGCAATAACATTTAAAATTGGGCACCTATTTTTATAAAGGCGCTCAAGCATCATAAATATAGAATTCCATCTTGTTTTACAGCTTTGTATCAAGCTTTCTGTTAGCAAACCTAGTTGTTCTTGCTTATCTTTTAAATATTGACTTGCTAAATTTGAATGCTTAAAATGACAAACTATTTTATTACATATTTCAATTACATTTTCTATTTTATCATATGTAATGTATTTATGTCATATATGTAATGTATGTGCGGCACATGTTAGACCGTTCTTTTCTGTGATATTATCCAGTAAATTAACTGCATTCAACAGATTTTTTGCATTATCAGTAACTACTGACATAATTTTTTGGTCAATTTCTCATTTATTAAAAGTAATTTCTAGTTGATTCGAAAGATTTGAAGCTGTATGATGATCGTTTAATTTGTGAGTGGTCAGGGTGTATGATTTTGGGCACCATTGGTCATCAATAAAATGTGCAGTAACTGTTATATACGATTCTTGAGCTACCGATGACCAACAGTCAGATGTGCAACTTACACTCCTGGCGTTTTTTAATTATTTTTTTATTAAATCTTCAACTAGTTAAATCTTTAACCAGTTTTAGTATTATCATACTTATATTTTATGTTTATACCTATATACAATTATACGATAAACGAATGCATCTAACTAATTTTTAAATGCAACTATTCATAACATCTTTAAATAATAATAGGTAGGTAAGTAATTAAGGGCTATACAATTTTAATTATTAATAAATAACCAATTATTGGAATATACATTACATTATATTATTATTATAAATGTAAATTTTTAAAGTGCATATGAATTCTTCAATAATATGTAATATACACGGGTAATAATAAATAAATACACGGGTATGTACGGGTATTAAATACACGGGCTTTAATATGTTTTTTGCCAATGTGCCCGGGCTCTGTGTACCCGTGTATTCTAATACCCGTTTACAACCACAACCTCTGCTTTGTTCATTTAAGTAAACTTTAAAGTATTATTATAACAGAAGTATAAAAGTATATATGTACATTTAGCATTTAATGTGAATATTTATTTTTAAGTCCCCCTATTGAAGAATCCTGCGTACGGCACTGTTGTATGGATATATGT